GAGGAATAAAACCATGCCCAATTGTGAATATTTTTAACTTTGAAAAAGGTTTCTATACTAATTTTGAATAATAAATAGAGAGGTTCGACTGTTTTCAGTTTGTTACTGTCAAAACAGTTTCTCTCTTGTAAGTTGTTTCTCCAGTTGCACAAACTGACTTAATTCTCTGACTTGGAATAAAACACGCAGGTCCAAATATGTCAAATGTGTTACACCAGAGTTCAACAGGAGGTCCATATGCATAGCGTTTGGGCTGTTTTGAAAACCAGTTCACTTGACAGCTGACATTGACTTCACTTTGAAACAGTGGCGGAAGTTTTTCAACACTTGTCCTGGTCAGGTATCATTGCATCCTGTGCTACAGGCAAGTTGATGATAGCTTCTTCCACATATTTCCCTGGTATATATTTTGACATAGTTAAGGAACACCTGCTTTTTCCATTCCTGACACTTGTCCCAAAATCCAGGTCTGCTAAGCAGTTGTTGCAAAGACTTTCTTACAGAGTTGTATGGATAGACTAACCTTTGATACAAAAAAGTCTTTGTTCCAGTGTGAACAGTCTTCAGGAGTATTCCATCACAAAGTCGTGAGCAACAAAACAGATATCCTCAAAAACCAATTGAGTAACAGGACGTGACCTTGTCCTTTTAAAATGTTTAGATACACATAGATTTGCAAACTATCAATAATTTAAAGTGTATTGATAGATAAATATTATCACTTTTTCATTTGCTTGATCATACAAAGTTTTGCACATTGAACAGACAACATACTTGACGAAATCATCACTGTTCAAAAGCCCAAGATGTTTCTTAAGCTTGTACAAAGTGTTTGGCAAATGCTTTGCCGGTTTAGAAAACTGTCTTCATTAAATGTTCCAACTAGCCAGAAGAAACGACTAAGAAATTAATGTAACACCTCCATAGCTGAGTCTGTAACAGAAAATCCAGACTGCCAGGAAAATAAGAACAATAAAAGCCAATAAATGAGCAGTCCTCATTACTAGACAGAATTAGGTGAATCATGACCATGTGCATGGACTCCACCAATAGTGCATGGACTCCATCAGTAGCATCTTCGTTTTCATCACTGCTATCATCGTCAAAATAATCCAAGTCTTCCTTCTTGAAACCCTTCCTCAATCAATCTTTCAGTCTCCTACGCAAATTTGCGGACAACAATGGCTCTGTGTCAGCTGTGTAAGCTTTCACATCAATCAAAGCAAAGCAAGCAATCAAATCCGGTCTCTTCTTTTGATGAAGAATTTAAATCCAAGTCAGGAACTTGTTCTTTTCCAGTACTCCTTCTACTTTGAGTACTTTAGCTTTTGGACAAACATGAGATCTGGACCCTGACTACGAGTAGCTACTTCCACAACAAGAACAATGAATAGGATGTCGATTCCTTCTCTTCGACTTTCAAGGCAAACTCAGCAAACTTCTTCACCCTGTTTTCCTGACACAATGTTTGATGACAAATTGTATCGATTTGGTAAATTTGCGTCGATTTTGGCGTCAAACAGACAAAACGCTGGTCCAAAATACCAGTGCCTGACAACAAAGCCGCTGAAGCTACTGACAGCTGCGGGCCCGTTTATGACGAATTGTCCAATCAAAGAACGGAGGTAACAATAGAGAAACGGTAACGTCTTTAAACCTCCCAAATGCACAACAAAACAACCTAACTTGACTGCAGGCACGACTGTGTTGACCTTTTTTTCAACTTTGAATCTAAATACCATAAACATCCATGTATAAGCCGCACTTTTTTTCACAAAATTGAAGCCAAAAATCAAGGATGCGGCTTATCCATGGATACATCTGTGTTTGGAGTTCTCAAAAACCTAATTAATATTCATAAAACTTCTTAAGATGCCAAGAAATAAACATAAAAGAAACTGAGAGCGTGTTGCTCTAGTTCATTGACTTTTTCATTGAGTGGTGGCTCCTAGGGCCTGGTTCAAACGTCGAACTTTATATGTGCCGAACCTAATGATTAAGTTCGGCACATGCGAAGTTCGACATATGGATCAATTGGGATCGACAGTTTTTTATTTGAGTCGATCTGCTGTTCTATTCGACTGAGCTTGTCGAATAGAACGGCAAAAGATCGACTTTGATTCATACGTCGATCTTTACATGTGCCGAACCAACTGCATACATTACGCATACATTACATTAATAATTTTTTCCCACAATCCCGCTTGTTTTTACGTTGTTGCCATGCGCAGAAGACTAAATTTGAGAAAAAGGTGGGTAAAGAAGAACAATGTTGCTCCTCTTGTTTTAACAATACAAAATATACTTGTTTAAGATGCCAGGAATACTTCTGTATTCCCTGTTCTGTGTTCGAGAATGATGAAACTGTCAAGGGCTGGAAAGCAGGCACTTCAGTCGCATATTGTGAGCCACGTTTCCGAGAAGTTATGGAAGAGAGCGAAAAGGTCGCAGGTAAATATGATTCTGATGAATCCCGCAAAGATCGAGATCTTGCAAAGCAGGAAGAATGGTCTTCTAAAAAAAGGAAATCCATCAAAGAAGATACAACGAAAAGGTCAGTATGAAAACAACACCACCACATGTTTAGTTTCAATTATGGAACCGAGATACTGCTGATGCCATAATTTAATATTTCTACTGCCATGTTTGAGAGTTGTTATTGTTCTCGTGATCTTTAAAAACCTGTTTCCTATCAATAACAAACAAGCCAAGTAGTCAACTACAAAAGTTTGTAAAAGAATGTTAAAACAAATTTTGATGACATACTAGGAAAGCACTGATACCATTGTTTATTTAATGGACAAGATAAAAATTTGTAGGACTTATCATCATGCTTATTTTGTGGCGGATGGCAGTAATATAATGTTTGTTATTGTTTTTCCATTGGTAGGAATAGAATGGCTACAGCAGGCAATGATGATGACGAGGTAGAAGTGGATGAAGAAGATGAAGAGGCTGAAGAGGGTGGAGACTTGGACATCTCTCAAACTTTTCATGAAAAAAGCCAATGGACAAAAGAAAAAGAAACCAGGTCGAAAAGCCAAGTGGTGTCCACAGGCACTTGATGATCTCATTGATATCATTGTGAGTAACACTGCACGAAAAAACGGATTTAAACAGGTTTGCGACAGAAGTAAATATGATGCAAATTTAGCCTTCTAAATTTGACCAAAAGTATCACCAGAAGTAAATATGATGCAAACACAGATGTTTATTCCGTTGAAATTGCGTGCAAATACGACGTAAACCTGAAATCTACTTTACATTTGCTTCGTATTTGATACCTCCGCAAATCAACAAATGCGGTGTACATTTACTCCAGATTTGCTCTCTGTGGAAAAATAATGTTTGCTTTCTGCAAAAATCTAAGCAAACATGTTGCAAATCTATATGTATGCATCACTGTTTTCCAACGTTTACCCAAACTACATCCAAAAACTTTCACGTGCGTTTTACTCATGTAACATGTGCAAATATTTACTTTTGGACAAAATTTGCATTACTTCCAAATGACCAGATTTGCGAGTGTTTTCTCACATTTGCTTTCGGTTTTCTGATAGTATTCGTTCTGATGAGGGATGAACGTTCGAAACGCCATCTTTTTGAGGTGACAATGTCAACCTAGTTGACTAAACAATTTTCCAACATCCACTCCACAACCGACACAGCATCAGTCCACTTTAAAGGAAAACTAACCCCTTAACAAATTTTGACCATGAACTGAGGCATTTCGAAGGCAATAAAAAAGGAAAAAAGGGTCATCTAAAGTGTGTATAATGAACACAAGTCATAATAATAATAATAATAATATTTGATACTTATATTGCGCTTTTTCTATAAAAATACTCAAAAGCGCATTACAATATTATTAAAAACTAAATTAAAACCAGTAAAATTACTCGGTAAAATTACAATATTACAATATTAACATTACAATATTAAAAAAAATAAAAATAATAAATAATCTAACTAAAAGCCTTTTTAAATAAATATGTTTTAACAGAGCGTTTAAAAGAGTCGATTGATGTTTCCTGTCTAATTGGCAGAGGAAGACTGTTCCATAAAAAGGGGGCAGCCATCGATAACGCGCGATCTCCCAAGGTCTTCTTCGTTCTTAGCTGAGGTCTTTCTAACAATATACCGTTATTGTTACGGCGTAGTTGGTAACGTGAGACTGGTAAGACAGAGACAAGATCCTTAAGATAGCTAGGCGCAACACAGTGAAGAATCTTAAATGTAACAAGGAGAATCTTAAAATCTGCGCGCAAGCGCACTGGTAGCCAGTGGAGTTCTCTTAGCAAAGGAGTAACGTGACAATACTTAGGTGCACAGTAAACCAATCGAGCACTGGCATTCATGACTCTTTGAAGTTTCTTAATTAGATACTCAGGAGCACCGTACAATAAACCATTACAGTAGTCAAGCCTGCTTGTGATGAACGCGTCAACAAGCCTCTCGGTGGACTCACGAGACAAATACTTCCTAATGTGCCGGATATTGTACAAATAATAAAACGCGCTAGCACAAGTCTTAGTCACATGAGTCGACATGTCCAGATGAGAATCGAACCAGGTGCCCAAATTGCGCACTGAAGAAACAGGCGATACCTCAGCTTGGCCGATCTTGATCTTGTCAACGGACACCTTTGATAACTGTCGTTCCGTGCCAATGATCAGGAACTCAGTTTTATCGTCATTTAGCATTAACTTATCATCTCTCATCCAAGCGCGAACGTCACGAATACAGTTCTCAATCGCAATAACAGCATCAGCCTCGCTGGACTTATCAACGGGATTAAACGATATATATATAGCTGTGTATCGTCCGCGTAGGTGTGAACGGATGGCAGATGAAATTTCATGATGTCAAACAGCGAACTCGCGTAGATGGTAAATAAGAGGGGGCCCAAACAAGAACCTTGTGGGACCCCGCAAGACAGATTAAATTTATCAGAGAGCGATCCATTAACTGAGACCTGCTGCGTTCTTCCCGCCAAATAAGATTTAAACCATGATAAAGCCTTATCCCGAAGGCCAAGCTTGGACTGCAGCCTATGCAGAAGAATACCGTGATCTACTGTGTCAAACGCAGCGCTGAGATCTAACATAACAAGCAATGTGACGTGACCTTTGTCCATATTTAGCAGAAGATCGTTTTTAACTTTTAATAACACCGTCTTAGTGCTGTGATTCTGCCGATATGCGCTTTGGAGGACAGGAAATAAGTTGTTGGCTGTCATATGATCTTGTAATTGGATAGCTGCGGACTTTTCCGTGATCTTTGATGTAACTTGCAAGTTGCTCACCGGTCGAAAATTTTTGTTAATAGGTTTGAGTCCTGCTTTCTTAAGCAAGGGGTGAACTAAAGCGTTCTTCCAGTTCTCTGCAAAGACGCCAGACTCAAGAGACAAGTTGACAATTTTCCTAATAACAGGGAGCAGTTCATCCAAACAGAAGGACAGAATAGACGATGGTAGGGGATCAAAGGCGCACGACTTTGCACATGAGGCAGCAATTCTCCGTACACTCTCCTCAGACAGTGGAGAAAATTCAGAAAACTCACTACACGTTGAGGCTGATGTAGCAAGCAAAGTTGCGCCACTGGCATCCGCATCCAGCGCAGACCGAATAGCCGTGATTTTGTGGACAAAATACTCCCCCATCTCATTTGCTAGCATCCGAGCATCCGAATGAGGCAGCAGAGCCCTATCTACATGAAAATTCAAAAGGCGTTTACTGGCCCGAAAAAGCCTTCCCTGGTCAGAACTATTCTCATCAATATATTGTTTATAATAGGCCCGTCTAGACTCATTCATGACATGCAATGCAAAGTCATGGGGTGGATAAAGATCCCCACTGAAAGCATAAACTTTATTTCCAAAAGAATTTGGAATTAACACTAATTTACATCAGTACAATTATATCATGTTATAGAAAATACAGTCAATCTGTGTACAGATCGACTAGTTGACGGTTTTTTAAAGAATCGGTTTCAGCAATATCACCGCCAAATTTTTCCACTGACGTTTATTAGTCTTGTCTTGTATTTTCTTTAAAAAACGCTGCATTACAATGAAAAAGAGTGACATTGGGTAAACCATTCAAACAATTTTTCTCTTCAAAACGTAGAAAGCACGTCAGCAAGATAGCGAAGTTTTACTAAATTTAAACGAATTGCTAAAAATAAAGATAAATTCAAGTTTATGGTAGCATAAACTGATGTTAATAAACCTGAGAATTATGCCCTATGAAACCACACTTATTGACGTACTAGCAACAGTCATGTCTCTGTTCTTTTGCCACACAAAATTCAACATTTGAATAAGTTTTTGTACTAATTAAGTAATGGTAGGTACTAGCTCAAAGTACAAGAAAGAACAATGAACAGTAACTAGTTGTTTGATTACAATGTATTCTTCTCCTTTGGCAAAGTCCACTGTAATGTAGCATGATATATTTACTAGACTGCACTAGGGTTCCATTCCTATTACCACATGCTCATCATGCACATGAGCTCCTCTATTTGCCGTACACTGTCTGTTCCCAGTCAGTTCTCTTAGGGCTTCGGTTCATTCACAACAGCGTTTTTTCCCTCTCACCCACCCTTTGTTCTGACTGGAAACTTTGTTTAGCTCTTTCCATTATTAATTATGTTCAGTATATATTTAGCACGACCAGAACGTATTTGAAGCAGATCATTATTTTATTCTTCTACAACTAAATGTATGTTCAAGATTAATCATTTATATTATGGTGTTATACTGGACTAGGTCTAATTCCTTCATTAAGTTCCTGGGATGTGAAACTACTGTCTTGCTTCCCAATTAAAGTAGTGGCAGAGAAGTGCAACCCCTGGCTGCACTTTACCCCACAGTAAGGCTTAGCCCTTGGAGACAGGTCTGGAAAAATCTCCACTCCAGGGTATGGACCCCCGGTCACACCTGATCTGTACTCCACCCAGGATGGCCACCCCTCCCGGTTCCCCTTAGTTCCTAGTGACTGGGGGATATGGGCCTCACCCCCAGAGACTACCAGGACTCCTGTCCAGGGTGGCTACCCCCAGTACCACTCGATCTTATCTCCCCCCAGGAGGGCTTCTCTCCTGGTCCCCTTACCCCTAGATTTAAGCACTTCCCTGCCACCAGAGTTTTGCGACGGCAACGAATGGCAAAAAAGAAATCAGTTTATTCTATAAACACCAATGAAATACTAGGTGAGCTTTCTTGCAAAAACTTGATATCTTCACAGGCACACACGCTCTCTATTTAATATCAAGAACCTAATCATGATGACAGAGACTTGACACTGACCAAGAGGTGATCCAAAGAAGCCCTAGCATTTGGGTCATTCTTTAAGCTGCATTCACTAAGTGAGAGAAGTGGCTTGCAACCAATCTTGGTTGCAATCTGCCTTAACAGACGGCCAAGGGCATATACATCACTTGCATGAGATGGAGGGTGGGTTCCTGCAACAACTTCAGGGGCAACATGTGTGTACTTCTGTTTGTATGTCTCTTGTTCTTGTTTGGACAAAACTTTTCTACTGGCTTCCTGTTTTCTAATGCACTTTCCAAAATCAATCATTACTGGCATAAACAGTGTATTTTTGTATGTAAGCAAGATGTTATCACCTTTTATATCCTGATGAATCAGTCCAGAGTTGTGCAACACTTTGAGTGCTTCTAGAAGTTGCAAAATGACATCAAACCACTCTTGATTTTTTAAAACCAAGGTACGGCTATGTAACGTCCTGTGAAGAGTGTATGCTTTGCTTTCCACATTGCAAAACTGAAGTACTAACAGGTAAGGTTTGCTTTGAAAACAAATACCATAAACGTAGGGAAAACATGGGTGATCCAACTGTTTCATCAGTGATACTTCTTTGATAACACTGGACTCTGATGACAGGTGTGTGTTAAATTGTTTAACAGCAACTGAAATCCCTCTGTAATACATTTTATAACAACGTCCAAAGACACCACATCCCAGTAACAGAGGTTGGTCAGTAGAACCACTTGGATCTTTCACATGACTGAGATCACTTCTCTTTACATGTGACACCGGTTGATCTGCAGAAACTGGGGCATCTTTATGTGCCTGTTTCTCATTCTCCATAGTGTTTGATTTATCCATTTTGCTAGTCTGAAAAAGATTAATACCATTCTTGCCAATTATGAAATCTGATTGGTTCTCAGTAGCCCTTACATTTTTTAATTGCTTAATTTTGCTGACGCACCCATTTCACCCTCCCCTCTAGATCCGCTCTAGATCCGCTCCTGAACTAGTATAAACAAGAACGCGGTAAATCGCGTCCTAGGGCTTTGAAATTTCAAAGTTTTCTGGGGAAGCATACCACAGACTTTTCCAAAAGGAGGGGACTAGCGGAACCTTGTTGTTACAGTCGGTTACTGTATTTAAACCTGCTGGGGCCCGTTTCTCGAAATTCCCAATAATTAACAGGCCCGTAAAGCTGTTGTTGTTTACATGCAAGGTAGAGGTTTCAATAGTTTTGCATCTAACATGATAAAAATATCAGTTAATGAAACAGAATGGAGTAGTTTACTAGCCAGAACCCGCGTTCTGATTCTTTATATTTCGATTTGAAAATTTGATTTCGGGCCCGAAACGTTACCGGGGCTTTCGAGGAAACGGGCCCCTGGCTACTTCAATTAGTAATGAATAAATAGCTGTGAGATATTTGCCGAAGCGGCAGATGTTAAAAGTCTTAACCCTTCACTGTAAACATTAGATGATATTTAACGGACTACGAAAAATTACACCAAATGGCGTTCCTACCCGTTCACGAAGATGTAGAGCATGCCATTTAGTGTAATACTTCCTCACAAGATGGAGCAATCTTTCATTCTTCGCTACAGTCATTGCTCGCTCATCTTCAAGTGCTAACAAAGCTTTTCTTCTTTTATTTTCTTTGTTCGCCGCTCTAGCCTTTCTCTTTCGCTTTCTTCTGTCGTTCTGCATTGCTGCTCTTTCTTTAGGGGTATTCTTTCTCCAAGAAAATGGCTGGTTTGTCTTCATAATATTTATACGATGCTTATGACTGCCGTCCATATTTCCCGCCTCTGAGCCTTTTCCCGCGTAAAATTGGGTCAGCAATGATGCTCAATTAGATAATTACGTCATTTATGATACGCGAAATCTCCATAAGGGGTGCAACTTTGGCTTGGTTGGGTTGATACCTTTTAGAGAATGTAATCGTTCATCAACAACTTAATTTGTCCAACAATTCCAACATTTGACATATTTTACTCTGTAATACAGTAGCTCTTACACATTTCAAGGGGCCAGGATGTGTTCTTTAATTTATATTAAGTTTTGCACAGATTTTTACATGATAGAAGAAATTATGTGTGCACTAAAACTGGTCTGAAAAAAGATTATGCATAGGTTTTATGTCAAGCCTGTGCATTAATAATCAAGTTATAAGAAAATAGTCGAAGGGTAGGGTGACTCCTGATGTAATTTTAATAAATTCATTTGATCCTGATGGATCAATGGAGGTAAGCATGTTTTAGCTATGTTTTTGAACTAGGAATTATTTTGAATGAATAATAAAACTATTATTGAATTTGGCTTTCATATCGTATGAAGAATTATGGAGATCTAGGAGGGAGTTATCTGCCTTGGCCTACGGTCTCGATGGATAACACCCTCCTCGATCTCCATAATTCATCATAAGATACTCAGCCTCATTCATTAACTATTAACTGTTAAATGTTAATTATTAACACTTGAGAATTAAATCATGCCCTTTTTTAAAAAAAATTATTTCAAAATACAATAAGTTCATTTTGGAATTTCCTTTAGGTGTGCAATATGCAGTATAAAAACAGCTTTGTTGTGCTTTAAATGTGCTCATCATTTACAATGTCCATAGGCAATCATTATTGTGGTTCCATTTAAAAGGCTCTTCGCATGTCTTGATCACGTGATCAACTTTCGGTATTCACGAAAGCATAGCAAAAGCTGAAAGAGCATATTAAG